ACCCCATAGCACACCCATGTTTCTGCCTATAATATTGCTCCCCATATGTGAAGTAGGTTGACTGCAGGCACAGTTTCAAGAGTTGACACAGTTGTTCTGTGGAAAGCATGGTACTGCTGCTCAGAGTGGTGTCTGATTTTAATTTTAAACTGACCACCTCTACTGCATCATCAACAGGAATGCACGTAAAGAGTGATGTGATATCAAAAGAGACCATTGTTTCATCAGTCTCCATGAAATGCTGTGATTGCTAGTATCACTCAACCCCCTGTGAATAGTAAAAAGCCATCAGTGTGCTAATGATCCATTGCTAGGCTGATGGTCCTTCTTGACCATGTGAGCAGCTGGTTTTGGTTGTCAGCAGCAAACTGGTTGATCCACTCTGAGAAGGTGCTATTTAAGAGACTGAGCTGAATACAGCACCTCAGACTGAGGAAGTCTCTTGGATGAGAGACGAAACGTTTCTACATTTTTTTTGCTTTGTATTTTGTTGTTTTGTTTTCTTGTTTTTTGAATGTCCAGAGGACCAGATTGAACTTTTTTGGATTTTTCTACCTGGATTATTGAGCATGTATCAGGTTAATTTAAGAGAAGTTCACTGTGATTTCCAGTTAACCAGTGAATACAGGGTGCTGTGGTGGGTACGGTAATTACAGCCAGTGCATCGTGATAGACAGCGTCCAACATCTACAGGGTGCTTGTGGGGGCGTTCATGTAAATAATATCACCGTAATCAATGGAGAGAAGGAAAGTTGCAGTCACAAGGCGTTTCCTAGCATTCAGAGTTAGACAGGATCTATTTCTGAGAAAGAAACCCAATTTAACTTTTAGTTTCCTTACTAAGTTTTCCACGTGAATCTTAAAAGAGAGATGGGAATCGATCAAGATACCCACATATTTGTAGGAATTGACAAACTCAATGGGGCACTATTCAAGGATAAAGTCAAAGGAAGAACTGCTGGGACATAATGCAGAGAAGGAAGGTAGATGTTTTATGTGTCCAAGAGACCAAGTGGTAAGGCAGTAAG